TCTTCCCTGAGTGTCGCGTCTGCTAAAATTTTAATTCAATCTTAGTCACAGTTTTAACAAATTCTTCTTCAGATTGTACTCAGCTAACATTTCTGACAATGGAAATTAAATGTCTATATAACAGAAAGAAACTAGCGGATAATAGAAATTTAATTTCTAATGGAAATAAAAGATCTGAGACTCGAGATTCGGCTTGAAGCCTCGGATAATCATCCGCCCGATTCAGATTATATCAAACCGTATTCCAAGATATCGTTGAATACCTCCAACACAGCTGCATTCTGAAAAATAACTACAGGCAGCATGGTCTTGCTCCACAAGGTGCTACTGTAAGGCTGTGTATAATGTTGTACGATCTGATACAAAATGTAGCTCCATCTGAAAAATGAAAGAAGACTCTGCATCCTTTCGAAACATTTAACAAGATACAAGTAAGAATCTCTGCGACAAACGGAATAGATTGCCGAAGATTTCACACAGTAATGCGCAAAAGAAACAGGAATGGACTGTGAGAAAAACGTTGCGCTGAACTTCGCGGACTGCTCATTTTGTAAACTGACGTACCCCAGAGTCTGGCCGAGATTATACAGCACGAGATAGAGCTTCGAGAGAGCGCTCGGTTCCTTGGATCTCTTTCCTGCCATGTTTAAGGTATTCAATCCCGACCGTCACCGCGTTCTTCAGTGACTCGTGGGACAAGTTCAGCAGACACCTTTGCTTGACTCCGCAAAGTATAATTGCTGTTCAATATGCGTATGAAAAATCCTTAATCACGCACCACTCGTCGTCGAGTGTCGTTTAATTATTGATGAGAATTAGGCGAGGCGTCCCGAGTTATACTTCGCCCGGTGACGTTTCTTTCGCTCCCGTAATAATATATGTGCATATTCAGCTCTTTACTCGAGAGGTTAGCAACATCGGCGTGTGTATTTATACATTCCGCCTGTCTTATCGTTCTCGTACGAGTGAGGGAGTGAGCATGATGTAAAAAGAAAGGTGTAACAACATCGTGTA